GCATCGCATGTGCCCACCTGGAAGTTAGCCCCACCAGACGCCAGCCAGACACCTGAGTGAGGTCCTGGTATGTGCCCATCTGAAAGCTAGCCCCGCTGGACATTGGCAGCCTGAGTGAGGTCCCTGGACGTCCACAACCAGGCAGGAACACCCCCTCCCACCGAGTGCGAGCAGGACAGCTGCAAATTGAGGTCTTCCCACATGCCCACCTGGACAGCTAGCCCCACCTGGACAGCTAGCCCCACCAGACATGAGCCATACAGCTGCAGCCTGAGTGAGTTCCCTGCTTGTGGTGCCTAAGCACACGCCCATCTGGCATAAACCTGTGCTTGTGCCTGCCTTGCCTGTTCTCCCCTCCTCCTCATCCTCGCATTTCCTCATGTCCAGTCAACTAACTGCCTTTAATCCAGAGCACCTTGGTCTGCCTTAGCTGTAACAATTATCCTACAGAAGAGGCCACTTTCACAGGCCATGAACAGACATTTTCCTTGGTTCATAAATTAAGAGAGAAACACAGGCAACATAACTGCTATGCCTTCACCTGTAGCAGTGATTTCAGATCAAGAACCTATCATCACCTCAGGCATGAAAAACCTGACCACAGCATCATCATGAAAGAAACAGGCGCCTCACTAGTTACACAAGGGCAAAGCAAGATGTCACCCCCAAAAAGTGACACAATACCAATGGATTTCCTAAAGCCAGAAAGTCTGATGGAACTTTCTGACACAGAATTTAAAAGAACAATGATTGAATATTTTCAGTGGGTGAAAGACAAATCAGTGGGTGAAAGATAAACTTGAAGAATCACAGGACACTCCAAGTAAAAACCAGGAGGAGCTTAAAATATATATCCAAAACAATGCACTCAACAAAATCGGAAAAGAAAGGAATTTCCTCAACATAGTAAAAAGTATATACTCAAACCTGAGAGCCAACATTGTTCTCAATGGAGAGGGATGAAAGGCATTCTCCTTGAGAACAGTAACTAGGCAAGGATGCCCACTATCACCTCTCCTATTCAGTATTGTATTTGAAGTCTTAGCAATAGCAATAAGACAAGAGAAGGAAATAAGAGGTATCGAATTGGGAAAGAGGTGGTACAGTTATCTCTATATGCAGATGTTATGATAGTATATTTTAAAAACTCTAAAGACTCAGCAAGAAAACTACTGGACATAGTGATCAACTCAGCAAAGTGGAAGGATACAAGATCAACATAGAAAAATTAATTGGATTTCTCTACAGTGATGAAGAGAATATAAAAGTGGAGCTAAGAAAAACAATATCCTTCACAATAGATAATCACAAGATTAAATACTTGGGAATAAATCTAACCAGAAGCACAAAAGATCTTTTCAAAGAAAATTACAAAACATTGCTACAAGAAACAAAAAGAAACCTGGAGAAGAGGAAGAATATCCCTTGCTCATGGATAGGAAGACTCAATATTGTGAAAATGGCAATTCTACCAAAGGCAATTTACACGTTCAGTGCAATTCCAATACAAATACCAGTTCCATTCTTTAATGAGATAGAAAGGCAATCTCCAATTTCATTTGGAATGGAAAAAGGCAATCTCCAATTTCATTTGGAATGGAAAGAGGCCCTGAAGAAGCAAAGCACTCCTTAAAAAGAGAAACAAGGTAGGAGGCATCTCACTCCCTGATTTCAAATCCTACTACACTGCCATGGTGGTCAAGATAGTGTGGTACTGGTACAATGAGAGACACATAGAATTGAGAATCTAGAAATCATCCCATAGCCCCTCTACCTATGGTCAACTGATTTTTGGCAAGGAGATAAAATCAGTTAAGTGGGGAAACAACAGCCTTTTAAACAAATGGTGCTGGCAAAATTGGAAAATTATCTGTAGAAATCTCAAGAAAGATCCACACCTCACTCCATACACAAAAACCAACTCAAAATGGATCATGTACCTAGGACTAAAAGCAAGGACTATAAAGGTCATTAAAGAAAAGCTTGGAAGAATTCCAGAAGTTCTAATACACGACATAAACAGTCTTCCAAGCATCATGAAATATCTACAGCCAGGAGAGGATAAAATAGACGAATGGGACCTTCTAAGAGTCAAATCCCCATGCACATCCAAAAACTTCTTCAACAGGGTGAAAAGGGAAGCCACAGACTGGGGAACAAATATTTGGTAATGGCATGTCAGATAAGGGACTAATATCTAGAATTTATAAAATACTTGAGCACCACAACAAGATAAAGGTGAATAACCCAATTGAAAAATGGGCACGGGATTTGAACAGACATTTCATCAAAGAAGACATTCAGATGGCAAAGAACACATGAAGAAATGTTCAAAATCCCTAGCTCTAAGAGAGATGCAAATCAAAACAACTGTGAGATATCATCTAACCCCAGTAAAAATAGCAAAACTTAGCACAGCAACAAACATCAATTGCTGGTGAGGTTGCAGAGAAACCGAAACTCTTATTCACTGTTGGTGGGAGTGTAAAATGGTGCAACCACAATGAAAGGCTGTATGGTGCTTTCTCAAAAATTTACAAATAGATGTACCATTTGACCCAGCAATTCCACTACTGGGAATATACCCTAAAGAAACTATAACTTCCACCCAAGCAGAAATATGCACATCTGTGTTTATTGTGGCTTTGTTCACAATAGCAAAGCGTTAGAAACAACCTAAGTGCCTATCAACAAACAAATAGATAGAGAAGCTCTGGTATATTTACACAATGGAATATGGAATACTATGCTGCACTGAAAAGCAAAGAACTCATGAAATATTATACAAAATGGATGACCCTGGAGGACATTATGCTGAGTGAACTATCAGTTATAAAAGGACAAATATTGCATAGTGCCACTGTTGTAAAACGAGACTGACATTGGGATTGAGGGGAGAATGAGAAAGAGGGAATAAATCCTCTCCAGAGTACTGAAGAGCAATGGTATCTCTCTGGAAACTATAGTGTGTCTGATACAGGCCATGGTCTTTGCAATCACTTTTTATGCATCAGAGAGTTGGATAATGACTAGGGAGGACAGGAGAATTGATGCCTTTGAGCTGTGGTGCTGGAGAAGAGTATTGAGGGTACCATGGACTGCTAGGAAAACAAACAGATTCATCCTGGAGAGGGTTAAAGTGGGTGGCTCCTTGGAGGCAAGGATCCTGAGGCTTCGTCTAACATACTTTGGACATGTTTTAAGGAGGGACCAGTCCTTGGAGAGGGACGTCATGCTTGGTAGGATGGAGGGACAGCACAGGAGGGGAAGGCCCTCTATGAGGTAGATTGATTCAGTGACTGGGGTAATCGAGAAGGGTGTCTCAAAGACAGTGCCATTGGCACAGGGCAGAGGAGAGTTTAGGGCTGTTGTACATAGGGTCACTATGAGTCGCAAGCAACTCGACGGCATATAACAACAACAGCACACATTGGAACAGATGAGGGAGAGAACTGTTTAAAAGTGATATATGATTAGGTATTATTATCATGACAAGAGTCCGGAATGAAGGCTGCAAACTGGAGTGAACTTCAGGGAAGGCATTGTTTAACAATGAAAGAATTTTTCTTTTACTTTTCAAAGAGAAGAGTGAATTGAGGCGAGGGATGGACAGGGAGAAAAACGCAACAATGAATGAATGGAAAACCAAAATCTCTGTAAACATTCATTAAAATTAATAATAAAAAAAGAAGAAAATTACAATGTATTTTTATAAATCCTGAAAAACGAGGTATTATGTGTGATGAATTTGACAAATCACAGTTCTGAAAAAATAGATGTATATGAAAATGAATGTAAAATTTGGCAGAATGTTAATAAGGACTAATAAAAATTTTTTTTATTGATTTTCTTATAATCATTCATAGACATTGTTTAATTCATGTCATGTACTTTGTGTTTTATACAATCATCCATAAACTTTGTGTTTCACATAATTAAAAAAAAGGTTTGTGAACATCAGTCTAAAGTGTAATTATTTTATGTCTTTACGCACTTTCTCTGGTGGGTGAAGGCATACAATAATGATTTGCTTTAATGCTAAAAAAAATTTGTCCCTCTTTAATGAAAAATAATTTAAAGAGCAATAGAAAAACAAAATGCAGTGCAAGGAAGAGAACAGAACAAATTCTAATTGAGTAGAATTCAGAGAGCCAGCGTTAGCTATGATTTGACCAGTCAGTCAGTGGACTGAGTAACTAATTGGTCAGTCAGCTGTTCAACTGAGTAAGTTAGTAAAGTGACATTGACTAAAGAATTCCATCAGCCAGCTGAAGACACAGTTAACTAACCACTACCAATTATTTATTGATGTCAATAATTATGATTTACTCAAAAGGAGGGGGAAAAGAGAACTCACTCTACTTGCAAAGAATAAGAGAGGAGGATATAACTTTGCTCTCAGGATAAAGATAGTTGGTAGAGTTTCAAAGACAATAAAAGAAAACATCAGGAACTTATTTCCATAGGATGGAACGACCAGGGATCAGATCACGATAGAATTCTTAGGACATTAGTTACTAAAGAAGGCACTCTTTGAACTATTCCTGTGAAGTTCTGTAGCATTGGTGCTAACCTTCCATTTGAAACACAAATTCCAGTAACGTCTATATATATTTTACCTTTAACTTCTTTGGCCTTTTAAACTATAATAATGTAAGTATATTTGAAAAAATACCTCATGAATCATAAAATTATTTTTATGATCAAATTTGTAAATTCAAATTTTTTTTCCAGCTCCTAAAAGTGAAGTTTCTCTTTCAGGAGATCAAGGTTTAAGATGGCATTTGGCATTTCTAATTTCTAACAAACCAATAATGTACATAATTATTCTGAAGATTCCTATTGGAACACAGCTGATGTACATCATGAGGAATTTGGATCTTTTGATTAGATTTTGGATACTGTAATCGCTGATAAAGGTAATAAACAACATATGATTATGGGAGATCCAACTCTAAAACAGCTCATAGCTAACCCACCAAATGTTCCCTGAGACTTACCTGCCAAGGATAGGAACCCTTTTCCACTTGCTTTCCATCAACAATACGACTGAAAATGTTCAAATAATTCCAAGAGTGTGGCTTAACCAAACTTTGTCCGCAAGTGGGAGCTGGGAAAAAAAATAAGGAAAAAATTGAGTAGTTAGGTAGCTCCTAGGACATGTTGTTATTAGGTGCATAGAGATATGGCAAACTCTTCTAAGAAAGGAAAACTGTAGGACATGAGACATATAAAGATGTTGAAGAATGACTAAATTGTTGGTGTTTGCTGATATTTGCAGTACAAGGGGTTGTTCAGTGTTTATGCAGAACAGGAATATAATGAAGAGGTTTATTTCTCTATTGTGAACATTATCAGGGGTAGATTTCCACTCAGGTAAAAATGTAGTGCCCTCACCCCCTTTGATTCTAACTCTGTGCCCCCTTAGGGAATTCTGTTGGCTTAGAGGTAAGGAGTTTAAAACCATTGACTGCTTCCTGAGAGGAAGGTGGGAAGTCTTCTTCCGTACAATTTATACTGTCTCTGACAACATGCTGGAGGGTCAGCTGTGAGTGCATCACAACTTAATGGTACACAACAACAACAAAAACAACATGCCCCTTAGAGGCTCCCACAGCTTTTGGTAGTTTTCCTATGACATTTACTTACCATGATAATTATTTCTGTCTTTCTTTCCAACTAGACAGTGGACTTTTCAAGGACAGGAGCTGAATCTTAGAAATCTCCATCTCTACAATATCTATATTCCTCATATATAGACCTTGATTAGTTTGTGGAGTATACCATGGTCTGACTTTGATTATAAATTTATGAATGTCTCGTGTTCCACCCAGGATAGTAGATCTGAGACCACATTGCGTTACTAAGACACAGTCACATAGCAAGCCTTTGCTGGGTTTCTTTCTCTATCAAATATTACTTTGACAACTGTGTTTACAAATTAATTTCTCTACTGTATTATATTCTTTTTGGCAAATACATTCTTTCTATAAAAATTGGTGAGGATGAGGAAAATAAACTGTCCAATTCACACAATATGGAGTGATATTAGAAGAGTTGTCAAGTGCTGGAAGAAAACCTTTTTTTCACTTTGGAGAAGACTATATAACTCTGAGAAATCTGTTCTTCAACACACCAGTTAAGAGATGGTCTGGATCAAAGATGTTTATGATTGCTTAGCAATTCATAGCACATTTTCTGTCCTATTACAGATCCTTGTTTTCCAGTAAAGCCCTGGCTCATACTCATCTTTTTTTTCTTCTTCTTCTTAGTTGAATCCTCTAGACCTTATGCTTCATTCAGTTTGACAATAACCTCAACTGTGAAATCGTCACTGATCTCTTCAAACTGTCTTAAATATCTCCCCCTGTATAGTAGTATAGTCTTTCCTTGTTTGTTTTTTCCACTTCTTGGGATGAAGTATTATAATAGTGAATTTGCCTCTCCACATGGACTGTTCATCTCTGTATTTTGAAAGCTTAGCACAATTCTTGGTGCCTAATAGGTAATTAGAAAAGTTGAATGGATGATCAAAGATCATTTCTTGAGAACATAGCTATTAATATGTTAAAATATATAAAGTTATTTCATAGAATTTTTTATGTGATCCTAGGGCTATACCTATTAATTAAGCACTATCATTTTAATATTACAAATAAGAAAACTAATAATCAAAGGGATCTATAGCTTATTGGTGGTAGAGCACAAGATTAATGCTGTGTTTTTGTTCTTCATTCTAAAGTTTATGCAGACAGAAAATCTGGATCAAAAGTTTATTTTCTGTTTTAGAGCAATGAGGCATAAACACTTTTTAAGTTAAATTTACTATTTCCTGAGTTCATTGAGATCAAGCGTCATTATTCTTGAGGTTGGCACAAGTATGACTGTTGAGAAGCCTGATTAAGCTACTTGCAGAAAAAGGACAATTCCCAAGATACTGCAGTTAACATACTTCCTATTTTTCCATGAATAATTTCTGAGAAGATTGCAAATGTCTTCAAACCCATAATAATATCCAGAATTTTCTCAGTAAAAAGGGACAGCATTGTATAATTTGTCTAAATAATTGAACAACCCCAGTTTTCTATAGGCCACCTCACAAGTATTTCAAGGTCTTCCATGTACTTGTTGCAGGAAAAGAGAATCTCAAATAATCACATGAGAAGCGACTATATTTCTAAAATAAATTTGTTGCTACTATTTTTCCAAAGAAATACAGAGTAGAATTATGACACCTACACCTCCAAAAATTACTCCATTAGACAAAGATATCTACAGAGTACATTTGGAACTTACCTTTGGAGAGAGAGAGAGTTGCATATTTTCCTTGTTTCAAACAAATTATTCCAAATAGTAAAATCATCTTGTTCCTGCTAACAGGCATTTGGGGTCTTAGTGTTTTCCTAAGATTTTAGAGAAACTGACAAGAACAAACATAGACTTGGGAGATCAACAAGAAGCCAATTTATAAGATTATTCATTAACCAAGGCAAAAAACATTCACCTGTGTTCATATGATTTTTCTAAATGAGGCTTCTTGCAAAAATCTTTCAAAGTTGTGAGAAATTACCTACAATGCAGAGTCTTAGTGCAGTAGAATTTCATATTTCATTACAGCCACACCAATACATTCTTTTACTCAAGTGAACCTAGTTAGTGAAGTGTCTGATGTTTTCATTTATAAATATTATTTTCTCTATAGTACAGGAATCACATCCTACAGGTAGACTTAGTATCAAGTGGTCCTTGTTTAATAACATAGACTTTCTTACATGCTCGCAAACAGTTTTTCAGAATACACTATTTTTTCACTTATTTTCCAAATGTAAGTAGATATTATTATAGCTGGATGTTAGAGAAAGAAAGTGAGAGAGAACTTGGTAAAACACTCTGAATTTGATGCACTATCCAGTCATTGAAATAATTACTCTCACATGGAAGCAAAATGTCTCTGAAAATAGTTTAAAAGTGGTTGCAGCAGTACATAGACAAGGAACTTCCAGGATTTCAAGCTGGACTCAGAAGAGGATACAGAACTAGAAATCTAATTGTTGATGCCACATGTGTCTTGACTGAAAACAGAGACTATTAGAAAGGTGTTTACTTGTATTTCATTGAATATTTCTAAGTTGTATGATTATGTGGATCATAACAAATTGTGAGTAACATTGAAAATAATGGAAATTCCAGAACACTTAATTGTTTTCATGAGAGATCTATCCAAGAAGCAGTCATTGGAACAGAACAGGCAAATATCATATGGTTTGCTGAAAGTGAGGATGACTTCAAGGATTTACTGCAGAAGATCAAGAATTACAGCCTTCAGTATAGGTTACATTTCAACATCAAGAAAACAAAGGTTTTCACCACCGGGCCAACAGACAGCATAATGAAAGATGGCAAAAGAATTGCAACTGTCATTGATTTAATCTTGTTTAGAACAATAATACACACCCTTGGCGTCTGCAGTCAGGAGATCAGGAGACATATGGCACTGGGAAAATCTGCTGTCAGAAATCAAGGACCTCTCCAAAATACTGAAATGCAATGATATTAGCTTGAAGACTGAGGTGCACCTGTTTCAGGGCATGGTTTTTCCTATAACCAGATGCGGATCTGAAAGCTAGACAGTGATTAGCAATAACAGAAGAATTTATACCTTTGAGCTGTAGTGTGGAAAAGAGTACTGAGTGTCCCGTGAACTGCCAAAAGAACAAGCAGACATGTCTTGGAAAAAAGTGCATCCAGAATGTTCTTTTTAGGCAAAGATGATGAAACGCCATCTCTCATACTTTAGGAATGTTATTAAGAGAGGCTACCTCATAGAAAGGAACACCATATTTGGAAAGGAGGGGAGGGTCAGCCTAAGAGAGAAAGACCTCCAACAAAATGGACTGACACAATGATTATAGCAATGAGCTCAAGTGTGTCAGAGTTGAAGACGATGACATAAGATAGGACAAAGTTAAAATTTGTTGTTTATAGAGTCGCTTTGAGTTGTAGTCATCTCAACAGCAGATAACAACAGCAATAACGAGACACTGGAGTCCCTAAGATGAAGATAGAGGAGCAAAGAAGGTGGAAAAAACTCCCTAGACTGCATGCTGTTGTTATTATGTGCTGTTGAGTCACCTGAAACTCATAGCAACCCTATGTACAACAGCTCTGAAGCCTGCCCTGTTCTGAGTCAGTCTCACTGACTCCAACACACCTACCCCCATTGCCTTAGTTAATGTATCACTCCATCTCATCCAAGGTCATCTTCTTTTACACTGTCCCTCCACACTTCCAAGAATGATGTCCTTCTCCAAGGATCAGTTCCTCCTGGCCACATGCCAAAGTATATGAGATGGAGCTTAAAAATCCTAGCCTCCAAGGAGAAACTTGGTTTCACTCTCTCCAAGACACTGATTTGGTTTCTTGGTGAACTGGGTATGTTCAAGACTCTTCTCCAGCACCACAGTTCAAAGGCATCAATTCTTTTTCTGTCATCCTTAGTCATTGTCCAGCTTTCTGATGCCTAACAAGTAATTGCAAAGACAATGGCCTGGATCAGGTGCACCTTAGTCTCTAGACTGACATTGTTGCTTCTCAGTACTCTGGAGAGGTCCCTAACAGCAGATTTACCTAATGGAATTCATCTTTTGATTTCCTGACTGCTGGTGTCAAGAGTGTTGATTGTGGAACTGAGCAAGCCTTAACTGTTTACAAACTCAATCTCTTCTCTATCCATCATGGTGCTGGCAATTGGCCTAGTGGTGAGAATCTTTGTCTTCTTGATGTTGAGCTTCAATCCTTATTGATGGCTACAGTCTTTGACCTGCAGCTAGCTCTTCAAGTTCTCTTCAGTTTCAGCAAGCAAGGTTGTGTCATCAGCATAAAGTAGGCTGCTGACAAGTTTTCCTCCAATCCTGATGCCACATTCCTCCTCATAAAGCCCAGCCTCCTCTATGATCTGTTTTACATATAGATTGAAAAAATATGGAGATAGGATGCATCTGTGACACAATACCTTCCTGGTTTTGAACCATGCAGTGTTTCCTAGCTCTATTCTGAGGACTTCTTCCTGGTCCAAATATAGGTTTCACATAAGCACAATCAGGTGTTCTGGGATTCATATATTCCCCAAGGTTAGCCACAATTTGTTGTCATCTACACAGTGAAATACCTTTGCATAGTCAATGAAGCACAGATATACATTGCTCTGGTACTCTTTGCTTTCTGCATCTGACATCGGTGATAATGTCTCTAGAGCTACAACCTCTTCTAAACCCAGCTTATATGTCTGGTGATTCTCTGTCATTGTACTATTTCAGGTGTTTCTGTATAATCTTCAGCAGGATTTTGCCTGCATACATACTGAAATGTAAAAATAATAGAACTTTACATTAATAAGCATTAGTTAACTACACAGAAACTTGCTTGCACATTACTTATGTGAAAGACAAACTTGCAAAATTATCCCAAAGAGTTTAGAAAAGGAAAGATGGTGATGACAGAGAAGAAAGCATCAATATGGAGGAAATGACAACAAAAAAAGGAAAATAACAATAATTATTGGCATTGTTAAAAGAAAAAGAAGATCGTGACAATTAGCATTTGTGTAATAACCATGACATGTCAACCACTGAAATATACTGACACATTTCCTATCAAGTCTCCTAATCAGTATCTTGCAAAACCTTCTAAATTAATATTATTTTCATTTTATAAATGTGAACATTGAGACTTCTAGATATTAACTCATTTCCCAAGGCCATAAAGTTAAGTAATACATGAGGAGTTATACAAATACCTATCTAAATCTAAATTAAAACATCCCTTTATACAATCAGAAACTGGGGAAAAAAAGAAAGAAACTGAACAGAAGTAATTAAAACTTGAAGACGCTTCAAAACAAACTTAAAAGCACTGCCCTTCCTACAAAACACATAAAAAATCCCACTGTGTTCCAGGTATAACCAATTAATTCATTCCCATACTTTAACACTTCCTGCCATGGCTCAGATTACAAAAAAAGGACCTTAATATTCATCATTCAGTTTGGTTTTGGTTCTGGCAAAATGAAAAGTTAAATAAGAACTCTTACTATAAACAGTTCCAAAAGCGGAATGAATTAAACAAAAAAAAATCTTTAAAATATAGTGGAACTCACAAAAAAGAAAATTCTCAGGTACTAAGGATGAAGAAGAAATAAAAAACCCAAAGGAACATCTAATATTTGGTTGTGAGTGGGTTTCACAGAGAACCATTGACGGCTGTTGCTGCTCTGTATAGTATTTAGATATGTAGGTAATATGGGCCTATGTGAGGTGAGGAGTTGACATTCAGAATCATAGGTAAGATTTGAGTTCTGAAAAAGTTTGTGCCCTCAGATAAAAAGTTAAGTGAATAGATACACTTTTTGGCTACAGGAACAATCAGTGAAAGTTCTTAATTTTGCTAAGCCACATAATCATGATTATAGCTCTGTGAGTTCTATGTGGCTATTTCAATGGATTAGCAGAGTCAGTATCAGAGCAGTGAGAGCCCTGGGAGGGACAGGTGGGGGAAGTATGGGGGACATGCTTGACCTCACAGGAGTCAGTTTTGTGTTGAGGATTTAGTGGAGGTCAGAAGTGGCAACCCTCATGATGTTTGTACTCTTTTTACAAAACCATTTATTTAATTTATAAATAAAGAATTAAAAAGCTCAAGAAAGAAATATCATTTGTTTAAAATCTATACTAACACTTAATAGAAGAAGTGTGTGTATCTGTGTGTATTATGTTGTTGTTGTGTACCATAAAGTTGGAACCAACTCATAGCTCACCCTCTCCTTTGGACTCAAATTGTGTATCTTTGGGATTGCAGTGCAGCTTCTTGCCACTAGTCCACCAGAAGGGTGTGTGTGTGTGTGTGTGTTTATCATGAAAAAACAAACAACAACTCATTGCCATTGAGTCAGAACCCATTCATAGCTCACCCTCTAGCTGTTTCAGGGGCTCTAAGTTGCACAGGAGTAAATTGCTTATCTTTTCTCCAGCAGAGCAGCTGGAGGATTCAAATTGCCTGCCTTTGGGTTGGAAGCACAGCTCCTTACTTGATTAGCCATCCCAGCTTCCTGAAGAAAGCAAAAGGTCATGTAAAAGACAGGAAAGAAAGAAAGAAAAGACCAAAATTATTGAGACTCTGGAACTTGTTCTAGTATGCAGAGAAGTGAAAGCAAAAGGAAAAAATAGTGACGTAGGAAAGCTGAACATAATATTTCAAAAGACAACTCAAGATAGCAACGCAAAATATCATAGTAAAAGTACAAAGACTTGGGGTTACAAAACAAAAATGAAAGAACATAGTGTTTCTCAAGATGAAAGAACTGAAGAAAAAATTTAAGTCTCCAGTTGT